GTTGGACAGTTCTTAACCCAATTTTAGTAGTTTCTGCAATCTCCTTAGATGTTTTCTCTGCTTGATGCATGCCAATGATTTGACCCTTCTCAAACAGACTAACATCTTTTCCACGACCACGGGATGTGTCTTTCGACATGGTTGTTTAGGAAATGAGAAGCAACTCATTGCACCAGTTGGGGTTAAATAACTTGTTGCCAGCTGAAAGATAATCGCCCATGCAGTAATTATCCAATAGTAGGCTCGTACCTTTTTGCTTAGTTAAATCCAGGTGGCGACTTTTTTTTTGGCCAGGCAGTGTATTACAATCTACAGTCTGTGCAGTTATAACTTTAATGTTGAACTACATGCACCTGGCAAACTCGGTGAGTGGTGTTTGTTTTGTCTTTAAGATATCGGATATAAAAGCATGAGGGTCAAAGGTCAGGGCATAACGTTATGAAGCTGAGTATGTCCTGACCATACAGCTGCATTCCACAGTACAGCCGCTGCAGTGCAGCTATGCAGGAGCGGGCATGCAGTAACGCGATTGGGTGATAGCTTTGGGCTCGGCACCAGCTCGGCACACGATTGGCTGTTAGGAGTAAGGGGCGGGACGATGTCTCTTCAACCCATAGCTTCAACCAGAGGCAGGAGGGGCACGCACACACCCATGCTGCCCTGTCTTCTTCCCGTCCATTTACCAGGCGGAGGAACGCGCATCTTGAACGAGCCCTCGCAGCTCGGAGGTCGGAGATGGGAGGTCGGAGCTGGGAGGTGGGAGGTGAGAACTGGTAAGGACGACACAATAGCTATACGGCTAGTAGTGTCCGAGATGTGACTTGGTGAGCAGTTGCGTGTGAAGCAACGCAACACTTTGTCCTCTCGCTACCTTTTAAAAAACCACGCTGCCGGGCTTTTGCTAGTTTGGAATAAGGTGAAGAGGATGCGGAGACTGTGAAAGGTGAGCCCGGTGTCTCTTTAATGACAGTTAGACTCCTTGTCTGTCAAACTTATCAAAGCTTATCGCGTTATCGACTTTTACATGGCGGTCTTACCACTGTACCAGTTACAACATTTAAAGAGCATTGAGTGCACGTACTATTTTAAATACGCCTCCATTTACAGCTGCACTCAGCGGTACTTTGCTAACTTAACGGTTTTAAATCCTGGGATGCTTTCGTTTATCTGACCTGATGCTTCACACAACTTTGTGAGCGCTGTTTTCCGAGGAAACCGAGCTGTACATTAACACACTAATTAACGAACTGTGAAGTTAATCACACGTTTAACTCCGCTCGGTGCCCCGCTGCTCCGTCTCCGCAGGCAGAGTGCCCACAGCGAGCTCCGGCACCCGCCGTGAGTGTTTTCGAAAGCACCCACCCCGGCACGTTATGCCGTCGGGATTTCGGACCGTGTAAAAGTAACCTCTGTGACACACAGCGGTTTATGATACTCGCACGTTATGTTCGGCAAGATAATCCTAACAAACAAGCACTGCTTTACGATGTTTGAAGCGTTAATGCAGTCGCCAGAAGTAAGAAGCTAAAGCTGGGCAACACGAACGGCACCGCGTTCGGAACCGGGAGTGCTAACATGCTAAAATGCTAACCCACTTCCTGGTTGTAGGTCCACTCTACTATCACAGTTTTGATGCTGTTTTCGGGTTGAATGAGGTGCGCTGAAGTGGTTATTTATAGCTCCAGGATTCAGTGGGGGCTTGGCTTGAGTCTGACGTGTACGTGCCGGGATAGTATTATGCTAATAAGAGAAACTAGTCTGTGTCTCAGGAAACTGGTCTGTGTCTGTGTGTCAGACTGGGGGCAATGGGTTCTGCAGAGGCTTGGCTAGCAGGCTCGGGAGTACGCTGCTTTGTTTTATGACACGTGGGAAAGGTGATATGAGAGTGTATTAATATGTAAGCCCATTATAGGTTATTCAGTTATATTTTTAATGGTATATACAGCAGCTTCATCTCTAGTTGACTGTTTTAAATCCAGCTTGAATGGACTGCTCACTTCGCCTCAGCTTCCAACTTGGGTTTGGCTTTGTGTCAGACTTAGTTTGAATGACAGCATCAAGAGATGTCTGTGTTGGAAATCATATCAAATGCCAAGAAATTATCACGTGATGATGGTGTAATTAATTTGTGTGTTCCCTAAGAGAGTAAGGAGATTAAGGTTGGGGTATGAACTGTCATTGATGATGTCTTGGGCCCTCCTGATGACCCCGATGGCGAGGAGAAGGTCCTTCTGTCTTCCGAAGTTGGAACTGGGAATAATGCACATGGACACAGCAGCCTATGTCAGTATTGTTGTCCTGGATTTCACACTCCTGTAACGTCTGCATGATGGCAGGAGCGTGGAGAGACTGTGGTTGGGGTCTGCAATGATGTCGTGGACCCCGGTGTTGTAAATATCCTGATTGGATGCTGCTCCCAAAATGACTTGTGCAGTTTTTATCACACCTCCTGTCCTGAGCAGTGCAGTGTCCGTACCAAATTGACTTAACTGATGGGGACACTTTCGACTGCACATCTGTAAATGTTGCTGAGGATATTGGTTGGCATGCCACATTTCCTCAGCTTCACTAGGAACACACAAACCCAACATTGTCATCCAAATGATTTGTGCACATCTGGGACTCATTATGGAAGCGTAGAGCTGCCATGCCAGAATAAAAAAAAAAAAAAAAGATCAGTATTAGGTAGTAACATAAGATATTTGTCGTGGTTTTACAAGATATTTTCACTTTATAACAAGAAACATTTCTTGTTTAAAAAAGAAACTTTCCTTGTTGTAACAACATACTTACTTATCTTGGTATAATGTGAAGTGTGAAAACGGTGTTGGAGAATGTCTAAACTGAGGACTATGGCTCTTCTACAAGACTTGATAAAGTTCTGTTTCATGCCAGGGTTGAGATATGGTGAGATTTTGCTGTGACTGAGCTCCCCCTTTGCTGATTTTGACAGTGAATCTTTAAAATCCTTTCATTGTAGGCCTACAGTATGAATCCTTGTCACAATATCATTCACAGTGCAGAGTAAAAGCAAAATGTCACTGTCTTAAAAGTGCTCTGATTAAATTATGTATCTGATCAGTGGTGGATTTAACACGGGAAGAGCAAGTGCATCCCTCTTGTTAACCTGCACTTTCCTCTCTGTTCCTTTACAGCAGAGACGGTGCAGGGTCATAGGTCACGGTGCTGCAGTGCCTTTCCACCCTCTTTTGCCAGCTGACTGGGAGTAGCCATAGCAGTGGGAACTGTTTTTTTTTTTTTCGAACTAACGTGCAGCTGATGACACCTCTCTACCTCATCACACTCCAGATTGCTGTTGAAACAACCATTTATTCTGCGTCCATGAGAAAAATGTGAGTAGCATCTTCTTACATGTATTGTTATTTTAATATCACCACTGCATTGAACGATCCATAACTCCACCAGTTGATGGGATATACAGATTAAATATGCGACGACCAGTTCCAACAGTTGACCATGGTCAGACTATGATTTTAATTAAATAAATCTACTCTGGGGCATGTTCATTGAATTGCTGTCATTGTCCACACTGAAGACAGGATTATGACGCTCTCTGTCCCATTCATAACACAAACATTGTCAATACGGCAGCGTGATTGGCTGATGGCTTTATGGGTCTGGCAGGCGAGTGACTTTTAGGGGGAAGAGGCAGAAGCTGTGCAGCCGCACCCTCCTTCAACCAGTGGGAGGGAGGGAGGGAAGGAGGGAAGGAGGGAGGGAGGGGTCTGTCGGCTGCCTTCAGCATAAACCACACCCTCCCCTCCTCCACTTATCAGGCGAGGGGAAGTCTCTCTTCTCTCTCTGAGGTTGGAACTTGGAACTGGGAATAGTGGGTGTGTGGGACTGGGGGTGGGTGTATATATACAGTACTGGCCTGTACTGTATATATATATATATATATATATCTCAATGCATTTAATGTTTCATAGAACATGTCATGACTATGGAACTGTGTCGTCTGTGTGCTGCCCCCAAGAGGCTTTCAGGACATTTTCAGTTTCACATCTCTATGTTCTCCATCATGCATGTGAAACACCAGAACTTGTGTGCTTACTGCTGTAATGCGCATGCGCAAGTGCTTGTTGTCGCGGCTTTGACTAGCTCAATTGTACGGATGACTTGCGGCCCACTGGGACCTGCAGACAGAGGTCTTCACGCCACCCACATATTTTGTAAGTACCCACTGTATTTCAATAAAGCAACCAGAAATTAGCACTATTGGTTTTATTTTATGCCGCTCACTGTGCGGCCTAGGCTGCTGTTGTGCAAAGCTAGTGTGGTGTTAGCATGTAGCTTGTAGCATGCTGCGGTGTGGACCAACAGTAAACATAAACATGCTGCCATACTGTTTTCACCGCCTGTGTGTAATGTTGACTTGCTCATGTGACTGGCTTTATGAACTGATGCTGTAGCTTGTAAAAAAAATTTTTTTTACACAGTTCCACGTCAGAAATGCTCCACAGATAGGACAGGAGAGGGAGTAAATAATGTGATAGCAAAGTGATGTGGAAACAAGAGGGCCAAACATTTGGCATACAGCAACATACAAACAATATAAAGAATACTACTTTGTCATATAATATGTTTTATCCTTAGTTGTGTATTTCATACTGTAATTACAGAAATTACTGTTGTGTTCAAAACTATATATCAAACCCTTGATGGACAAGCAGCCTTTCCTCAGTAAATATGTATTTCTTTTTAATACTTGTTTTATTTACAGGTTTCCATCACATCAAACTTCTTCCTCCAACCAGAGGGACCTTGCATCTAATACACATTTTTCTATTTCATTGTAACTGTACTCAGAGAGCATTTTTCATGTTATATTTAAATTGTTGCTTAATAAATATGAATGTATTGTGATGTGTGTCACATGGTCTTCTTTATCTTTTAAGTTAAAACTGCAAATGTGTTGATATGACTGAGTATGAAACGTGTACGCAGCTGGTGGGTGATAGTTGTCATCCTAAAGCCAGACCCACCTGTTCAGTTAAATATTACAGTTTGAGCATTTTGAGGTTTAAAAGGTGTTTAAATGGGTGATGGTGAAAAGACGTTCGGAAAAGGTTCAAAAGTGAACCACCGACGATTTGAAGACGTTGGTTGAACATTCACATTCGGACCATATTTCACCAGGATTTGCAGTGTTGACTTTCACCTGAGAAATTTGGATGCGATTTCTTCGTTTGATGAATCAAAATGATACGACTATTTGCACACTGTCGATGATGAAAAATCTCACTACTGCAAATCCAGGTGAAATAGAATCTGAATGTGAATGTTCCCAGCGTACATTTGAACCTTTTTCTGAATGTCTTTTCACTGGTGACCATAGATGTATTTTTAATCGTCTTTTCAATTGAAAATTTTTCGCTGAGTTACCACAAAAATACTTTTTTCAAATGCTGTATTTCAAGTGTTTTAATTGAGAATCATATGACAACATCAGGCAAAATGTCATAACGTCAGTGATTTCTCAAAATATTATATTAAAACTTTTTAAATCAATAATACTGTGTAAAAATATATATAGTGAGAAAGTATCCAATGTTCAGAGCTCAGAAAATAAAAGGTGGACAATTATTTTATCTCATTTTAATGTGTTTGCTGTAGAAGTAACCCTAATTGCAGTGTTGCCATGTGATTTTTAAGCTGCAAAATGTCTTACAGTAATTTGCATCATGCTGTTAGCGTTTATCAACTCCATAAAATGAAATGATGCATTTAAAGGGAGGGGATAAAATTCAGCGTTATCCACCTTACACACACACAACTAAACACAACTGTTGTTCATAAATAATCCATGTGTATGTTATGTGAAGGGATTTTTTTTCTTCAAGAAAATTACATACATACCCCCCAAAAATTACCCAGGGATCCAGGATTTGGAGTTTTAACATTTCCCTTTTTTTTTTTATCATTTATGATGTTTTTCTTTAAAAGTTCTCTATACAATATTCAGAGCATTAATATAGCAGCTAATCACTATTTGCTATGTAAAGATATAGTAGAGTGATGGCGTCCTGAGCAGAGAATGATGTCACACTCCTTCTGTGTGTGTGTGTTGTAATCTGAGCTTCTCTGTGGTTTGTTGTGGTAAGCCGGTCCAGTCCTGCGTGCATATTAGTGCATTCAGGCCAGTGACCTGATGTGCAATTTTGATTTCTGAAGCTCTTTATGACGTAAAAATAGAAACCCAGTATGGATTTAAAAGAGCCAAGGAATACTTTTTTATTTGATAGAAAAAGTGTGTGTGTAAATAATTTATAATAATAATAACAACAATAATAATAATAGTAATAACAATATATACATTAATATAAACATTATTAATAAATAAAATAAATAGTAGTAAAATAAATTTAATAATATGATGTTATCCGGTATGACATTAACTTGTCTGGCTGTTGTCTTGACTACATATAGAAATCTGCAACCTTGAACTTCAACTGCCAAGAATGTAAATTCATATTAAATAAATAAATTTGCATATAATCAATATTATAAGTGTTTTTTTTTTTTTTTTTTTGTAGTGTTATTCCAAATAACACAGGATTTTAGTCCCCAGTGTACCAGTGTGCAAAAAGGACCAATTAAACACCCTTTAAGAGACTTTTTAATCTTTCACCATTGTTTGTCTTACAGGCTCCCCATGACTGTGTAACACCCTGGGCTCTAGTTTCGCAGACTGGGTGAGGCAGAGGTGCAGCGCACCTGCGCTTCGCCAACTGGGTGTGGCCAGGTGGATTTTGCAAGTTTGGCACACCGTGCGCGCTGGCGCAGCTACTCCTCTTTCCCACCTCCGTCACTCCTACCTGCGCAAGTCGGAAAGAGGGAGGAGAGAAGGCGTGGAGTGGGTTTTACACACATCACACCAATCAAATGAGCCCCTCTCCTCGCCCTTAAATGTGCCGCGCGAAGGCGTAATGAGAGTTTACTCAATTCGCCATGGCAGAAGAGAGCAGCAGCGTCAGACGGCCAAACTTCTCCCAGGAGGAGGAAACTGATGTTTTGGTCCAGGAGATCCAAGCTCGCAGTGTCCAAATATACAGAACTGCGGGCAGACCTCCACGGGCTGATGATGCAAAGGTAGCCTGGGAGGAGGTCACCACAATTGTAAATCAATGTTGCGTTTCTCTCATGCGCGCGCGCGCGCGCTCTCTTTCTCTCTCGCAGTCTCACTCTGTTTCTTTTCTTTTGGCTTTTCTAAGATGCCAGATGCTGAATATATACTCCCTATCTGATGCTGTGGCTGTTTGTGGTTGGCTGAGAGGGATGTGAACTCATTAGTTTGCAGCTGTGTTAATCAAATCAGGTTGGGTTTCCATTACGCGTGCCAAACGGTGCCAATCCCCTTTGATCTGTCATCAGATGTGACAGGACAGTCGATACAGAGATACATTTATGTGCTGATTGCAGATAGTTGCATTGAATAGTGTTTTTTGGGTATTTATTGCATCGTTAATGTCCCTGATATTCTGGAAACCTGCCTGTGAGGTTTTGGTGACGTGTGCGCACTGTCCACCGGCCAGCCAAACTTTGGCTTACACCGGCTGCGCTCCGTAGACCTGGTTTCAGCTGGCGAGCTTTTAGCGTACCTTAGGTGAAGCCTTTTGGCACGAAACTGTCACTGCGCCAAGCTGGATCTGTCGACACCTCCCCCTGCTGCGCTGCCACACCCATCTCAGCACACCTCGGTCTGCCAAACTACCAAACTGAGCGCACCTCGGGTTGCGCTGCTCGAAACTAGCTCTGCGCGGGGTTCACCACCCTGCACCACCCTGCGCTGCGCCGGGAAACTAGAGCCCCCTGTCTCATAATGTGTAAAACAAACAAACAAACAAAAACATAAATTTGCTCCCAATTGCTTGTTATCCTGGATGACACTGGCCAACTGCCAGTTTTCAGACAAAATGCTCCAATCAACTGGATGTCATATTTGTTATAATATTTAAATATATCATTGGTAACACTCATACAATAATGCCTGTGGACGAGATTTTGTGTTTTATTTGATTTTTAACACTTTTTGTAGCTTTTTTGCATTTAACCATGAGGTATGGACAGTTACCCCGTACGGCATTTTGTGACTAAAATGTCTAATATTTCTTTAACTCTGTAATACACTCAATACATTTCATATTATTTGACAAACAGAGATTAATAGATGTAATAAACGTACACATTTTCCTTATTTTTACTTGCACATCACGTCATTGACCCACTTGCCACTTCAAATGGGCACGCTGTTCAATCAATCAATCAATCAATCAATCAATCAATTTTATTTATAAAGCCCAAAATCACAAATCACAATTTGCCTCACAGTGCTTTACAGCATACGACATCCCTCTGTCCTTATGACCCTCACAGCTGATCAGGAAAAACTTCCCAAAAAAACCCTTTAATGGGGGAAAAAACGGTAGAAACCTCAGGAAGAGCAACTGAGGAGGGATCCCTCTGCCAGGACGGACAGACGTGCAATAGATGTCGTACACCATTGTGGTGTCATTTATGTACTAATTACTTGCCTTCAAAGTTAGGTAATTTTTGTGATTTGTTTGCTCTATCTTTACAAATCTCACAGGCATAATTATGGACAGAAAAATGTGACCAACATCCATTGTATTAAAGAGAATGGTATATAGAGCTCAACTCCTTTGACAATGTTAGTTTGTGAAACAGTATCTTAATAAGTAAGTATCGTCAAAAATATGGATTTATCGGGGCGTCGGTGGCTTAGTGGTAGAGCAGGTGCCCCATGTACAAGGCTGTTGCCGCAGTGGCACTGCAGCATGTCATCCCCTCTCTCTCTCTCTCTTCCCCCTTCACGTTTACCTGTCCTGTCCATTAAAGGCAAAAATGGCCAAAAAAATATCTAAAAAAATAAAATAAAATATGGATTTATCAAGAAATATCAATGCTGAATATCAGACATCCCCAATTTCCGCAGTATTGATACACCGTTACCAGCTGCACAGAGTTAATTTTGACAGCTATTTTAAATTTAGTCTTAGTCCTGAGACGAAAACTGTTCATAGATTTAGTCACATTTTAGTCATTTTTATCCTTCATACTATAGTTTTAGTCAACGAACATTCAAGATGTTTTATCTTTTAGTCAATATGTTTTCTATATGTTTTTAATCTTTAAACTAATCCAGGGAGACTAATTCCTGTATCAGAAATCAGGTGACAGGTTCTATTAACATTTCATTTGAATATTTTTTTCCACACCTACAAATAATTTCTGCCACTTACAAACTGTCATTTCTCCAGCAGTGCTTGAGGGGTGATTTACGAGCGCATACTTACTGATCATCATTTGAGACATCTGAGACAAAGGGGATTTGTAAACTCGTGTCCTCTCATAGAGTCAGTGATTAAAACTAAACTTTCATCTCTGGCAGAGAAAACTGATCTGGGTTCAGACTGTTTACAGACCGTTTCACACTCACAGATAACTGGACCTTCTACCTGCCTGTTGAATACTATCAACCAATGACCCTTCTTTAGACAGCTCTGGTCTGAGTCGAGTCCTGCAGGGATCAGATGTGAACATAGGTGGCCGGTTGCTTCTCGCTGTGCTACTGTTCAGTGACTAACAAGTGGAGCTAGCTGCTAACAGCCACCGCTGCAACTAACAAACTCCACAATTCCATTCAGCAGGTCCACTATCCACAGTCAGACACACGGCTGATTATTTACTGCTGAATTACAGCTCACATCTCATACCAACGTCTTTGCTGGCTACTAAAACATCCTGGCGCTGACTATTTACTGGAGATTACCAGCCTGTCACTCATGCAGCATTTGAAGATAATTAAAGATAATTACAAGCATGGACGTTGACACCTTTCAAAGTTTGATAGTCCACCACTAAAATCTTCATCACGTCTTGTCTCGTCACAGCATAGATTTTGTCTTAGTTTTTATTAGCAAGATCTATTTTGAGATTGTCATCATCTCTTTTTCGTCATGACAAAAAAAAAATAATTTGCCAACAAAATTAACACTGCCACTGCGCTTTCTCGCTATCTCTTTTTATTAATGATTAATACAGTCATTCTGCTGTTCTCTGCTACTAGCTTGCTAACGTTAATGGTTTTTTTCTTGCCTGTGTGTCCTTGTATGTTAGTCAGAATTTTTGCAGGCTCATGGACACAGCACAGACAGACCTCTTTTTTTCTCCCTCAGCAGCAGAGTCTTGAGTCATAGGATTGATAATTGATCATTTGAGCCAGTCAAAGCTGATCAGATCAGATCAATGAATAAGAGGAGCAGCTGTTTGAGAGCGAAATTAAATGTTTAGACCCAGTACAATACATGGTTAAGTTTCCCTTTCACTACACCTGCCATTCTGCTGCTTCAGCTGTGATCAGAGTGCGCTCAGCGCACCTAAAGAGCGGTCAGGCTCTAAAAATAGAGAATCTATTTGTGGTGGCAGATGTTTTGATTGTGTCGGTTTGCCGCAAAAAAAATAAAGTGAAGGAAACTCTGTCTTCTCATATTAATGTTGTATTTGTGGTTTTTTCCCCTCTTTTGTTTTGAAAGGTACACAAAATACTGGACATGCCGTAGCTCACAGTGAGGGTCATTGGGGTCAGCTTGGATCCAAAGGAGTTCCAGAAGTTCCAGATACCCTCTGCCATGGCCTTCTCAAGTGATCACAACTTCACTGGAAATTTGGAAGGGCAGGGCGAGAATGGCTTAACCTCTGCACCATCACTTGTGGATGAGCAAAATCTCAGTGCTGACTTTGAGCCTGCCCCAGTTGAGCCTTTATGTCCAGGGGAGCCCCAAAACATGATGCCAGCTACAACCCAACAAGCCATGCCTGGTAACAGTCAGCAGATAGGCCACTACATGGGCATGGAGTCACAGAATGCTATGGGGCAGGCATTTTCTGGTCCTGGGGGCATGGGTGGTGGAGGTGGTGGCATAGTTGTAGACCAGCATGGCCAGTACCAAAATGCTAGTATGAGCCAAGCAGCTAATACGCTGTTCTTCAACCAAGACCAGAATGGAAATATGTTCTACCCCTATCAATCATATCTATACAGCCACAACCAGCAACTTTGTGTTTTACAACAACAAACACAGCAGCAACAGCACTGCCCAAATCAGCCGTTAAACCAGCACCAGCATCACCAACTTTTCCCACAGGCTTTGCCGCATCGGCAGCATCCTAATCTCTCCTTTGACCGGAGAGGTCAATCTCAGAGCCAAAAGCAAAGTCGCCTTTATCGACAGCAGGTTCAGAGCCAACTAACTGCACGAGGATCAAAGTTGCGTTCAAGTGCTAAGCAAAAAAAGACTTATGTGGATAGTCAAAATGCTTCTTTGAATGGGACTTGCTTGCAACCACAGCAGCAGGGCAGCTACCAGCTGACCAGGCCAGATCTAGCCTTCTCTGGATCAAGATTGAGAGTCCCTCAATCATGCTTTACTGTACATTCATCATCTGTGCCTCACTCTCTGCCGCTCAGTGCCACTGTAGGTTCTACCAAAGCTTGCCAACCTGCACAGGACCCTTCCTACCCTGGAGGCCCAAAAATACCCAGTCACAGTCAACAGCCTTTGTTCACAACCTCAGTGTCTCTTCCCGCCACCAGCACTGCATCCCTCACTTCTACAGCACCCACCCACTCAGGGACTGGAGGCCAGTTTCCATCCACAGTCAGTTCTACCAAAGCTTGCCAACCTGCACAGGACCCTTCCTACCCTGGAGGCCCAAAAATACCCAGTCACAGTCAACAGCCTTTGTTCACAACCTCAGTGTCTCTTCCCGCCACCAGCACTGCATCCCTCACTTCTACAGCACCCACCCACTCAGGGATGGTAGGCCAGTTTCCATCCACAGTCAGTCCTACCAAAGCTTGCCAACCTGCTCAGGACGCTCCCTACCCTGAAGACCCAGAAATACCCTGTCACAGTCAGCAGTCTTTGTCTACAACCTCAGAGTCTGTTCCCACCACCAGCACTGCAACCTTCACTTCTACAGTTCCCAGCCTCCCAGGGACGGAAGGCCAGTTAGAGGAAAATCTTCTCCAGACCCTATGTTGCTCTGGAGTATCCCAAGCCAACTCCAGCATGGCCAGCCCGCTGAGACCTCAAAGCTACGGGGCCAGTCTTTCCTTGGGAGACAATCTCCTGCCACCAGACGAGGAAGACCTGGAGTTCCTGGGACATCCTGATCTTCTGGCTGACCTACTGCCACAGCTGAAGGCTCCTCCCAGCCAACAGGATGCATCTGAGTACTCCTGTGTCCAGTCCAGCCAGGAGAGTGGGCATGAGCACAGGACATCGCCTGTTGGGTACAAGGTAGAAAAGGTAAAACAATGTCACAAAGTTATTAATTTCATGTTTTAGTTTTTAAAAGAATATAAAGCATTCAAGCACATACATGCACCTTGATATTAAACAAACTGTAACAGGACAACCCTATGAAGGTAGTGTTCTTTTTGTCCTTGTCTAATTTATATCCGTACAGCCTATGCACTCTGTCCTTTACCCCACTTTCTTCTCAGTATAGATTGATATGGGGAATAGGAGGAGGGTGAAGTTTGATGGAGTGGAAATTAAGTAGATGTTAGGTGATTAGATGCCTGTCTGTTTGTGTGTGTGCAAATGCACATGTGAAAGTGCGGGGGAGAAGACAAGAGTGGTGGAGGACAGTGGATAGCACTCGAGGGAGGGGGTTTGGGAGATGGAGAAAGCAGTAGCTCATGGAAAAAGGAGAACTTAGGAAAGAAAGGAAGGGAAAGAGACAGAGAGGAAGAAGAGACGCAGAGGGGGGAAGTTTGGGGAATGCAACAGACGTTTCCTCATGGTTTGCACCATACACTGTACATAAAGATGGACGACATGACAGCTCCCCAAAAGTGAAAACATCTCGATTGCCCCCTGATGGCTGGCTGCAGTGTAGTTCATAATGTCTACCCTCTCCATGTCAGTGAATGGGACATGGGCCAAACTAAAAACTCAAAGTACACATCAAATAAATTTTTCCCAAAGATGCTTCTTGTCATTTAAGGTAGTTTTTAGCACGCTGCTATATGTTCAAGTGTTATATAATGCTATTAAATGGGGATTTTGCAGCATGATTGAAAACTAGGGCTGACCCAAAAAATTCGAAGCTTCGTTCGATGGCACGGGATTAGATTGTGAAAAAAAAAAATATCAAAGCTTCTGCGCTTTATTTTCCGTTTTTTGGGGGGAGGCCTTAAACGCAACACTAACCCCCACCAGTCCGATACTGACAACGAGCACACTCAGAGTCGGCAGACATGTCCAAGAGGTCATCAGATGTCTGGTTGCACTTTAAAATATGCCCTGACAACCCCCAGAAAGCAGAGTGCCAGATTTGCCAAAAGCAATTGGCATATCACAACTCAACAACAAATTTGGGAAATCACTTGAAAACGTAAGTAGTAATTAAAAAAGAAAAAATCTCCGACAAGGAAACAGAAAGCTCGACGCACAATGGAGACCTGCTATTATCCTGCTTGAACGCAGACGACTAAATTCTTTCAACAATGTGGCTCAAAATAATGATAAAATAGATTTTATTGATGTAAAATATGCATTTTCCAGTTCCACCGGACCGCTCTGAGTCTGGTGTCAGAGACACTTCAGATGCTCTGAGTTGCGCATCTGTTTGATTGTGCTGCAGTATGCGCCGAGGGTTTTAATTTAGTGTTCAATCAAAAGTTAAACATTACTTTTCACTGACCATTAGTGTTTTTTCTTTTGTGAATATTTTATCTTAATTCTAGTGTTGGAAGAAACTGCATTTTCGCCATAATTTATTTTATTTTATTTTTTAACTTTAATTATTGTACACTTGATACCGTGGAGAACGCTACTGCGCAGACTCTGAATGATGTCACCAGAGCAAGATGGCAATTTCTGTACAGTGGGAGTAAGTGAAGACACTTCATCCATCTTTATATACAGTCAATGATTTGCACACCTAAAAGAAAGGCATGATTTTCATTGATCATATTTATGTTAGAATGCAGCATTTTAAAAACAACACATGTACCAACAATTCCATAGATTTTGTTGAGTGCAGCAGAAACAGATTATCTCCAACTAGAAACGTGAAAATTCACACATTTTTGTCATAGGAGCACTTGTGTTTTCCGTTGGTTGAGTACTGGCTTGACTATCCCCCAACAGGAAGCAGGTGACAACAAATCTGGTGTCCTGTGTGGATTAGCTATGGTTAGGCAGACCATTTGCCCATCTGCAAGGTTCATTTATTGAAGTGGGGCCATGATCCACAGCCATACCAGCGTGCATCTCTTGGTCTGTGTCAGCATCCAACCCTGTGCTTACTATACGTTCACACCAACAGCGACCAGAGCTGTTCAGTTTCAGAGACCAAAATAAAAAGAATGAGGCTTGGGACCGCGTCGCGGAGGTAGTTGGTTGGTCTGGTGAGTTTTAAAGTGTGTAATGTTAGTAACAGAGGAGAGAATTGCAGACTAATGTTGCAACCTAACATGCAAATCTTCCTTGCTTGGTTTGAATGGGATGACATACGTTTTCTGTTTTCATTGACCAAACATAACTTTCTGTAGGCCAACTATGAGCTTTTTGACTGGACAACAGCAAGCGGCAACTACACCGCTTTCAAGCCAGTAGTCATCTTTGCAGCTCCTTTAAATTGACAAGCATGATTGAACGTTCAATGATTCACGTGATGAGCGACAAGTGCGACCAAAGCTGCCACAAATATTTTTGACAGTTGTGTTTCTTGGGCGTCCACAAGAGAATTTGCCTCTTTGGAGCCTTCTGGTCTGAACGTACAGTTAAAGGCTGACTGTGCTATTGAAGAGCCTGCTGATAGTGTGTTTGCTGAACAGACCAGGCATCAGGGGGTAGCTGCCAAATTCAAAGGTTAAAATGAGTAAAAATAAAGTATTGGGCCCTGTTGTAATGGATCAAAAATATGTCTAGAACTCTAGCTTGTCCTATGAATCAATTCAGCAACGTTTAGGGACTGCAAGGAGTTTTCTCTGAGGAGGTAATTCAAGCCTTGAAGCATTCTAGTGAGACCTGTTTGAGCTGGATACCAGTTTGTAACGCTTACGTTAATGTTAACGCTAACGTCAAAGGAATACTTCACCCCCTAACTGACTATTTGTAAATTCATTGCTCACCGGGTATTACATAAAATTTGTAAAGAAAATATTTTACCTAAAGTTTGATTAGTCATAAGTTACACTACTCATTACTCAGAAAAGTAATAACTTTGACTTACTGTTTGATTCCATGGGTTATTGACCGGATATTTTTCTCCATCCAGAGCTGTAAGTAGAGAAATTTGCACATATCTGTTGTTCCAAATGGAGGTTTGATGTGTGGTGAGGTTATGCGTGTACATGAGTTTTCAGCACAGTAGTACTTATTTGTGAGGGGGAAGAGCTCTGACTGTCAGTTGGTCTGAATTTAAAGTGTGCTTTTTTATTTCGCTATTCTATCCTTCCTTCTCTGTCTTGCCTCCTTCTGCCGGGATTAATGGTGTGCTCCTTTTGAACTGGGAAGTCGGAGTGTTCAACTTCCGATGGGAAGTCGGACTGTCCAACTTCCCAGTCGGAAGTTGCTACTGGAACGACCCCTGAAGTTGGATTTACAACTCTGAAAGTCAGAGGAACATCACCAAACTCCGCCTCACAACCCAAGATGCCTGCTCCATATCCCAGTCGTAAGTGAAAGCAGTGGTCACAAACTGTTTATTAACAAGTCTGTCTTATTTGTGTCTCATTAAACAGATTGTACACACAGTACTGTCCAGTGTCCTTCTGTGGACATGTTGCTTTGGTGTTCATATGCACAAAATAACACCTAAGGTGCTGTTATCTACTGTGTTTTTGTTTTTTCTCTCCAAACTTTATTGAATACATGCATGCATCTACAAGCATGTAGATGTAAGGGAAAACTGGAGATCCTTGCTGCACACTTGTGTTTACACACAGTCTGCGAGAAGCACTGTACTGTAGTTTGACAGAGCTATTGTTATCTTTGTAAAGTGTTTTGTTAGCTTTTATGCTGGGTACACACTACACAATATCGGCCTGTTTACAGCCTGACGCAGCGTTGTACGGTGTCTGCTCAGATCGTGAACGACAATGAATGTCGTATGCGATAATCCATCTTGTGTAGTGTGTCATAGTAGACGACAACCGACACCATGTCTGGGACACCTCATGACATCCCGACAGAAAATCTAGCATGTTTGATTTTCTTTTTGTCGTTCACGACTGCTCCCGTCATAGCCATCACTTTGACCAATAGGAACACAGAGCGATCTGCTGCCATAGACAACTGTACGTCAACAACACCCCAGGGTTTGAGATATTTCCTCGAGGGACGTTAGCACACAGAGTAAAAGGGAAAAATGATGGCGTGAAACAGCAGAGGCACTTTATCAACCCGCTGAGTACTGCCATTAGCATCAAGCTAGCAAACAATGTACTTTCTTCATAATGGAGGATAGGAATAAAATTGTAAGAAAAATAGTGGCTTTTACTCACCACAACTGCAGAGGCTACCAGCTTCATTTGAAACAGACTATATTATAAACGGGTCGTTATTTATTCATCCCGCTGTATTTTTATATTTTTACTTTTTATCTGCTCCTGTTTGCCTTGATAAAGTTAATGCATCGTGCCGTCATTTCAAACTCAACACTTTCTATATCTGTATAAAATTAAAAGCCCCTTATAACTTTAGTTGAGTTGAGTTGTTTTATTGTGAAACATTTGCAGGAATTTGTCGGGAGGATTCAGTGACTTGAGTACGGCTCTGGCCGCATTTTCCTGAACGAACCCGACCCAAGTCCGAGCACCGCTCGCACAGCAGCGTAGCACGGCACTGTATACACACTCAATTGGAGCAGAGCCTGTGTTGCGTTCAGGTGTTGTCACATAAATAACAAATTCCAGCACTTGTATACTAATATTAATATTAGCATACTATATTAATACCACACGTGGGCCAAACCCAAACTCTACAATCACGTAATCTGACATAGTGATTGTCGGAACAGACAGAAGTGTTGTGTAGTGTGTACCAGGCATTATGAAAAAATCCCAAATTTAAAGAAAGGCAGAGTATCAAACACAAAGTGACAGCTGGAAGTCCAGAAAATGAATTGCAGAGTCACCAGAAATTAAATTTCTATGACTGACCAAATCGAAGAAATTTGACATCAAGGCACAAATTTACTTTGAGATTCGTGAATGATGTCATTCATCCCAATGTTCAGTTATCCGGCCTGCACAGAAGTTTTACAGTTATTAATTCAGTATTGTTTTGCCATGCCAGTCATCAGTGATTAACAGATCCTTATTTGGATTTGGAATTAGTGTTTGTCGGCCCTGTGTCATTGAACGAGACAATTATCTTTTGCTGATGGCTTCATTGTTTACTGCTAACAGGAATTTTGTAATTTCAGAAGAAAATATAAGATGAAATTCTGAGGTAAGGCCATCATTCCCCAGTGATCTTTTGAGTTTAACATTTAACACACCCCACTTTATTTCTTTAATAGATAACATTTCATCATCACGCTCTTGTTTGAAAGTATCACTTGCTTTTTTAACATTTTTCAAACTGTTGAACATACTAGAACTGTCATTAAATGTTAATTTTTATATAGCATTAAATAAAAACTGGGCAAGTTTCAAAATCACAGTATAGTCCTCTGTTACAGAGTCATCTATCTCTAATTTTTAAACAAAAAAAATCTTAAATTTTTTTCACCCTCTTTTAATCCACTTTAATCTTGACCATATAAAAGCACCCTTTGATCTCTCTCTCTATAAAATATGTCTAGTTCCTGTTTAAATGTATCTAAATGTGGGGGCAGTTCATCACCTCCAGACATATTTGATGTGATGTCTAAAATACATTTTATTTAATTCTCTAATTTTGTTAATTTCTTTTGGCAAAATTGAATCACAGATTTCCTAATTTGACATTTAAGCAATTCCCAATAGCTTCTGTAGTCACTGTGAGAAATTACATATTAGCAGCACTGTTCAGTATGGTTTTTTTTACTGGTACTGCTAACAGTGGCTAACAAGGCTGTAAAGATGGACGATGTGTCCCCACTTAACGCCGCTATGCGTTATGCGGGATTTAAACTTCTGCGTCGAATCAACGCCATAACCTGACGTGCACCTCCACAGAAATGTAACTACACGTCGCAGCGATGCAGACCTCCTGTCTTTTTCTGTAAGCTGAAACCATTTCCCTCAGTGGAAACAAAGCTTTTATTTACTTTAATTTCACAGATAAGAAACAAAAAATCATGAAGACAATAAATCCTCCACAAAAATAACATTTTAAGTCTTGTGTGTGATTTATCCTGGCTTCATATGAGCAGAGAAAATCACCGCTCATCACTAGGCTAATTTATACAATGTAAAATGCCATAGGCTTGTGCTAAAAACATTAGCATGTTGTATTTGTGGGTAAAATGTGTCCAGATAAAGACAAGTGTTTGTCTGTGAATGCTGCGAGTTATAGTGAAGCTGATTTGTGTACTTGTGTTTGAAACTGTCTCTATTAAGTCATGTTAAATGTGTGTTTAATGTGTGTTTTGAATCAACTAAACTTTGCAGCACTTCACAGAAACCTCCGTCGCTGACTCGTGTTTTGGAGGTGTAACTGCAGAGTGACACAGACACACCACTCCACAAGTATAAATGCTCACAGCGGCGTAGGCTACGGCATAGGGTCTGCTGCTCAAGTATAAATCCCCCTTTAGTCAAGCCAAAATATCCCATATATGGCAGCTGCCATCTTGCGCTGGTGATGCCATTCAGAGCCAGAGTCCGACCAACTGCGAGCAGCGGTATTGAATGCGAACACACTGATTGGCACGCACAGCTCAATCAATCATGGCATCTAATCTGCATATTATGGCATTAAATAACTAATTAAAATCAAAATGATCAGAAACAATAACTCTTTATCAAACATCAGGGTGATATGAACTACTGGAAATGACAGAAACCATCTTTAGGAAAAATATTTCCAACATGTGCTGTGAGTTTTTATTTTGGCTCATGTCTCATCAACTAGCTTGAGAGCGGGCTTTATGACCACCAGGGGGCCATGGAGATGTTGGGCTTCGTTTATCAGGAGCAGTCATGTTGTCCATCTTTATATTCAGTCTGAACTAAACAAAACTTAACAAGGCTGTGAGGTAACTGTGTGAAACACTGTTAAATAACCAGGAGCCTCATTCACCAACCCTTGTTCTTAAAATACACTCACAGCTTTCAAAAACATTCTGACAGTCTACATTCTTTTTCTGTCTCTGTCCCCTCTCTGTCTCTGTGTCCCTCTTTCTATCTACGTCCCCCTGCCTGTCACCCTCTTTCTGTCTCTGTCCCCCTCTCTGTCTCTCTGTCTCTCTCTCTCTCTCTCTCTCTCTCTTTCTGTCTCTTTTAATGTTTGGAGTCCACGCTGTGAACCTGACGTAGAACTTTCACCAGAACAAATTTAAGAAGAAACCTTAGGAAGATATTGGTGAATGAGGCTGGGAGTTATGTGTTAACAGTCGCGATTAAAGGATTGTTTTATATTACTCTGAGGTCGATAGTTGTCTGTTAATGGGAAATGCGTTTTTGGAAATGCTGTGAGTGACTTGTGAATGTGGAGAGGTTAAGTCTGGTTCCAAATTTGTCTTGTTCCAAGTTTCTTAGAGCTCTATCGCAGTTGTGATGTTAACAATGTGTTTGTTTGTTTGTTTGTTTGTTTGTTTGTTTTTTTGTTTTTTTGCTGTGTTTTTAAGTTGGTCTTGAGGAGAACATTTACACGTTTTTGGAATCCCTGAAGTACACCCCATGTACTTCTGACTGCGCAAAGATCCCAGAAAACCTGGTTAAACCCGGAGACACCATCACAGGTTAGTTCCATAACCTTAATAATAAATATAGTGATAATGTTACAAAAGTTGTTCATGCTAAGCTGTTATTTACATGTGTGTTTTAGACAGCTGCAAGGAGAATGCCAATCCTGCACCCCGCCCGTCACCATCAGGTGTGCCAACCAATCACACGTTCAGCAGAGAGCAAACGCTGTTCATAATTAGCCAAGTGCAACAGCACATTACATTTGAAGGACTTGGTCTCCCTAAGAACCTGGCAGAATTGAATGAACGGCTGAAATCTCCCAAAGGCAGTAAAAAGGAATTCTGGATGGACTTAACAGAAAAGTTGAAAAGTAAGTTCAGACAAGAGTTCAGCTATGAGAAGGTGAACAGGAAATGGAACACTCTGGTTGAAGGATACAAAAAAGTGAAAGGCAATAATAAATTAACAGAAAAAGGAACACGCTTCCAATTTTATGCAGAAATGGATGCACTTATGGATCAAAATGATGAACAAAATGAAGTGGACCCTATTATCAGGACATCAGAGGAGCTGCAGGTGTGCGGGCCTGAGGCCCTGGGACGTTGCAGCAGTGTCACAGCATTCGCTGAAACTACACTTAGCCAAGCTACACCAAGACAACTTGCTGCTAAACGTAAGCCAGAACCCTCTGCCACACCTGCGCCAGAACCCTCTGCCACACCTATGCCTCCTTGCAAACGTAAAAAGTGGGAGGATGAGGAAAAGCTGTCCTTGCGAGAGTTTAATGAAGAATGTCAACGGCGCCATGAGGAAGTTATGCACGTGCTAAACCGTCAACTGGACGTTCAAAAGACGCAGATACAGCTTTTGTACATGATATATTCACAGCAGCGTTAAAAGCTCTAAGTGTCCAAGCTCTTGCACAATTTTTTACCTTTTTGTTTTTTAGTTTATTTAAGAAGGGACAGTGCAAATGAACAAATACACATGGTATAAAAATGCCAGAATTAGCCAAAAGGCTATTTTTCATTTGTAGTCCCTTGGCCAAGATGTTACACGAGGCTACCTTAAATACAACAAAGCACAAAAAAGCAAACCACAAAACAAAAAGTGAGAAAAAGGAAAAAAAAGAAGAAGAAAGAAAACGACAAACAATATAAAAGACCGTCCTGTTAATTATTTACTTTCTGTTTGTCTTTTTTTTTTACTTTTTTTAAAAACATTTTTTTATACAGTTTGCACAAAAATAGCACTTTTTGCACATTGTGTCTAATTGTCTATTAATTGTAAATTGTAAAAAAAAAAATCTCCAACAGGCTCTGGCTGTGACACCTCAGAACACGGCAGGGAGGTCAAGTTGAGTGGCCTTTGATGAGGCCTAGCTGACAGCCTGTCAGTCAAAGTGGCTACACCCTTAATTATGCAGAACTTAAAGCCTTAATAACATTTAAAGGGGATCGTTATAAAAAAAAATTCACCCCCTGCATAGTTCAATCAATCAATCAAACTTTATTTATATAGCACTTTTTGTACAAACAGAATGTAGCACAAAGTGCTTTACACACACACACAGTCACACAAAAAGATTAATTCAGAGACTCTAATGGTAAGGACCAAACAGTAGAAGACTACTATAAAAACGGTAACTGAGGAAACGCTATCATAAGTAAGGAAACACCAGAGGCAGGATAAAGCAGAGCGGATTGCTGACAGCTATCACAGAGCTGTCAATCAGACTGGAGCGCAGTCTGTGTTTCTCCTGGGGCATTTTAATCGCTGTGACCCGACCTGGAACAATATGAAACCACTACGGCCAGAATGAACAATATACTGGACCTGTGCTATGGGAATATCCCAAACGCATATGTATCAAAGCCACGCCCCCCTCTCGGCTGGTCAGACCACAACGTCATCCTGCTACTACCAAAATACAGATCAAAACTTAAAACGGGTGAGACAACAACAAAAACCATTAAAGTCTGGAATAATGAAGCAACCGAAACACTCAGGTTGCTTTGAACTCACTGACTAGGTCTTGTTTTTCAATGACTGTGGTAGGGATTTGTATTCACTGACAGAAGTACTGACCTCCTACATTTTATTCTGTGAGGACACTGTCACTCCCACCAAAAAAATAACCATCTATCCTAATAATAAAATATGGTTTACCAAAGACATGAAGCTCTGCCTAGCCCAGAAGAAAAGAGCATTTCTTCAGGGGGACAAGCAGAAGGTGAGGGAACTGGAGAGGGAGTTCAGGAGACAAACAGACCCTGCCTCTTTGCAGAAGAGCTGAACACCTTCTTCAGTAGGTTTAATCAAAACAAAGCATCAGATAGCTTTAGCTGCCAGACTCTGACCAACAATCAAGCCCCTGCTGTTGATGAGCAGCTGGTAACCTCCATCTTACAGAGAGTAAACCCACACAGAGCCTCTGGCGCTGACAGGCTCAGGGGCTCAAAGGCTGCGCTGCACAGTTGGGTGCAGTCATCACCAGACTGTTTCAGCATCTTCTGGACTCTGGTTGTGTTCCCAGCCAGTGGACAGAGTCCTCAATAATTCCCATCCCAAAAAAGGCACATGCAAAGGACACTAAAGACTTCAGGCCCATGGCCCTCACATCAGTGCTTTGCAAGTGCATGGAGAGAGTTGTGGCGACTTAATGTCAAATATGCTGCCTGGAAAACTGGATCCCCTCCAGTTTGCCTATAGGGCAAAACGAGGTGTAGAGGACACAAGCCTTATTTAAGATCTTATTTATGGACTTCTCCTCTGCTTTTAACACTGTAAACACCGACACTCTGCTGCACTGGACCTCCAGATCCACCCAACTTGGATTTTATGGATAAAGGACTTTCTAATGGAGTGACCACAGCAGGTGTTTTTAAATGGTAAACTGGTTTTAAACACAGGGCTCCCACAAGGCTGTGTTTTATCCCCCATTCTGTTCTCTGCCTACACCAATAACATCACCTGTAGCAGGGAGGGAATGAGTCTGGCCCACATGGACAGTATGGAGGCTCTCACCCAGGACTAACTGGCAGTCGACGACCTGGTCACAAATTTTAGTGAGAAATCACTAGAAATAAACATTTCAAAGACTAAGGAGTTGTGCTGTGTAGTAAGAGACAGAGCAGCAACTGCATCTCAGCTTTTTAAACCTTTGTTTACTCAGGGAGAGCGGGTGGAACAGGTGGAGTGTCTTAAGTATCTGGGGACACAGATGGACACCTGCCTGTCCTTCCAAACACACTCGGACACAATCTGCAACAAAGCACTCCAGTGCCTGCATCTTCTCAGGAAGCTGTGTCACTCATTGAATCCATTCTCACCTTCAATAGCACATCTTGGTACAACTCTCTCACTAACAAACAGAAAACAAAACTCTCTCGTATCACAGATCATCTGTCCCATCTGTATGAGCGCTCCGTTATCAGGAAGGCCACCCTGATTAGAGAGGAACCCTCTCATCCCCTCCATCATTCACTCAGTCTCCTCCCATCAGGCAGGAGTTACAAAGTCCCGCTGGCCAGAAAAACAGTCTATAAAAATCCATTAATTCCAAATGCAATAACAGCCCTCAACAGTAGAGGAATTTCAGTGTACTGGTAATGGTTTGCTAATGCTGCCGGTCCTTTATCTTTTATGTATCGATGTGTGTTGCTTATTTTACATCCTGTGTATTTTTTGGATTCTTCAGTCCTTTTCTAAGTCTGTAATAGCTTGCACGTGTAAATGTTATGTTGATTCCTGTCAAAGAGGAATTTCAGGTACCATTTGGTTCAGACAATAAAGTATTTATTCTTAAAAAAAAAGAAGGAACAAAAAAAAAAAAGGAAGACCTGACCAAACAGTTAGATACAGTCTCTTAGCAATTAGCTTCTGTCTATTAGCAGTTAGCTCCTATTAGCTCCTCACCGTCAGCTCAGACTCGAGTTACCGTGTGTTCAATGCGGGGTGCAAGTGTGACACAGGAAGTCAATGCAAAGACTTTAAAATTGGTGTAATGTGTGCTTTCTTGGGTTATAACACTGGGTTATGTCATGAATGATGAAATAACCCATAGAGATCAAAAATGTTTTGGTACCAGGCTGTAAACATGTTTATTTTAGCTGTAAAGATGGGCATTTTAACATGAGACTCTGTGGAGATTTGCTCTGTTTTGGAGCTAGCCCCAAGTGGCCAGTCGGTGAATTGCAGTTTTTGGCACTTATGCATGGGCCTCACTTGTCAGCCCTAGGGGTTGCCGCTTGGGTTTGCACGGACTGCATTAAAACAGATGTGTTTTTCAGTGGTGGGCATTTGTCCTCTTGGAATAATTTCATATAGCCTATTTTTTGCACTTTTGTAGTCTCAAATGTAAAAAAGAACAGTACAAGAGAAATAATTATTATTAATGCCGTTATTATTGTTGGTAAGATTTTGGACATGAGTCAAATAAAAACCTATCGAAGCCATACCCAAATTAAATCGAAAACTGTTCTTGTTCCATTGTTAGTACATGTCCATACATGGTCTTATTTGAAAGGTAATAGAAGCTGGGTTTCCATTACCCTTAGAAATGTGCAAAATCTAAATAGCGCAATAGAAAACAGGTAATGGACACAACTGAATTTCGCAAAACCTCTCAATCACTAGAAAGGTTTTACGCTCTCATGAGGTGGTTTTTCAGATGTGTCGATACAGATGTATGTCGCAAAAGTGTAATGGAAACACTTTTAGTGCATTAACACGTCACGTGACCCCACTACGTCACCGGACGGGTTCTTTTCCATCCGGTTTTATGGCGGCTGCCATATAACCAAAACAAAATGACACGGTACGTGTGGACAGAGGAAACCGCTATCATCCGCTGCCTTCGCCTTTTGTTAAAAATGGTGACGGCAACAGCAGTAGTATGGAGCTTTATCCCTATCTTTATTCAAGAGAGTGGTCTATCAGTTTGAGAGCATTATTTATTGATTTCACGATCAAAAACCCTGCCCTAACACTCAAATAGCCTCTGCTTGAACATGGATCTACTCTGTTTCTGCTCAAACTGTGTGCTCGCACTCAGATACCATGTTGCTCGCACTCAGATACCATGTTGCTCGCACAGATTTCCTGCTCGAGCTTTGGCTTTTCTCCTTGTGCTCAAACTGTTTCTGTGCGCTCGCGGAATTTCTGCTCTCAGATTTCTGCCCTGCGCTTGGATGTTTTTGTGTAACAACCCTGTCAAAATCCTCCAACCAATAGAATGCCAGATTTACTGTTGACCAATGAAATGATCCCTGCCTCCTTGCGGGCGCGCTCGCTTTAGTTTTAGAGCGCATACNTTTCTTTAAACTATATTTAAGCAGCCCTGAGCCCACCATCATGTCCATAAATGCTTGGATTGGAACACACACACACACACACACACACACACACACACACACACACACACACACATATACATATACATATATACCTAGCGAGCGCGCCCACAAGGAGGCACGGATCATTTCATTGGTCAACAGTAAATCTGGCGTTCTATTGGTTGGGGGATTTTGACAGGGTTGTTACACAAAAAAATCCAAGTGCAGGGCAGAAATCTGAGAGCAGAAATTCCACGAGCGCACAGAAACAGTTTGAGCGCAAGGAGAAGAGCTGAAGCTCGAGCAGGAAATCTGTGCGAGCAACATGGTATCTGAGTGCGAGCACACAGTTTGAGCAGAAACAGAGTAGATCCAAGCGCAAGCAGAGGCTATTTGAGTGCGACGGCAGGGTTTTTGAGCGTGAAATCAATAAATTATGCTCTCAAACTGATAGGCCACTCTCTTGAATAAAGATAGGGATAAAGCTCCATACAATAGATGCAACCAAAACCACATTTCCAACATCACTAAGTTTACAGAGTAGACTCTGGACGTCCATTTTTTTACGAGAATTATGCAGTCCCGCAAGATGGAGAGAGAATTACCACTTAGCTGTCAAACACCTTTCAATGGAAACACCTGCAAGCCGCAATTGTACTTTATTGAAATTGTCGAAATATCGCTTTAATTTTGCGTAAAACTGTTATGGAAACCCAGCTAGAGAAGTGTCTTACTGTATGAATCACTGTAAGTGCCACTGTCATTGAGTAAGATAAGTTTCAAACATTGAAATAAAATGTTTTTTTCATGTGCGCCTTGAAATTTCTTGAAATGCTGCAGATGATTAGAACTGGGAGGTACAGCTGGAAAACACAACAGGACCATCGTGTAAAGCCTCACATAGTCCAAACTCAAAGCTGATACCAGTATCTCAGAGAAAAAACATTTGTCACATTTTTCTGAGGGTTGTTTTTTTTTTCAAGGCGCTTTTCTAAAAAAAGAGGGTGAATCATTGTTTTCCTTAAAACAACAAAGGAACCATTTGTTTGTCATTTCTGTACATGTTTAACAGTACGCAGGTCGTAAACGCCATTCAAAAGGCTACTTAAGGTCAGGAGTGTCATTGACTACAGAGACCCATAAGCCTTACCTCAAATTGTAGGCCGATTATTTTCGTTATGTTTGAAACCTGAAAATGTCAGTGACGCATGTCCCTTCGGCTCAGGCCGTAGTCTGCTTTTTGGCAAGGCAACAGGCTTTGTAAGGTCCTGTCTATTCAACAACGATTTCAACAGAAGATGGTAAACGTTAGTCGCGTTGTGGCTGATCATTTACACGAAAGCACTGTTTATGGTGCCTGAAAACGCAACATTTTGAAAACTGGTTCCAGAGTGCAGATTTTTGGAAGCAACACCGTCTCCGTTGTCATGTAAACTTAAAATAAAAACAGAGACTTTTCGCACATGCTCATTATGGTTCCAGTCACTAGGCATGCGTGAGAAAGTCGACCATCACAGCAACAATGGCGGACTCCCGAGCTCTGAAAAATGCACCATGCCACACCACAAAAACTGCTCAGGAATGGCCAAAGAGTTCAAGGTGTCGACTTGGCCTCCAAATCTCCCACTGAGATTCCCATCTTGGGAAGTGCTGATACCCCACCTCACAACTGACAGGTCTCAAATGATTTGAAGCAGCACCCCAGTGCCAGACACCACAGGACACCTTCCAGAGGTCATGTGTCCATGCCTTGACATGTCGGAACAAGTCCGATCCAGGGAGATCTCACCGTGGATTGGGGGTACCTCTGAGGTACCAGCACGGCCCATGGATGCTCGATCGGATTTGGATCTGGAGAATTTGGAGGCCAGGACGATGCCTTGAGCTTTTTGTCACGTTCCTCGGGCCATTCCTGAGCAGTTTCTGCAGTGTGGCATGGTGCATTTTCCTGCTGGGGGGCCACTGCCATCGGGGAGTGCTGCTGCCATAAGGAGCGAAACTTGATCTGCAGAGGTGTTTGGGTGGCATCCTTGTGAATTTCTGCACCAAAAGTTCCTCAGGAGACAATTGCATTGTAACAAGATGATCAATGTTTCTCACTTTACCTGAGAGTGGTTCTAATTTTTTGGCTGATCAGTGTAGTGACAGATTACAGGAGGCAAGTTTTCCACTTAATCTTCATCATTAATGCTTATTTTCCTTTCTTCTTCTTGTCCTTTTGTTTTTTTCCCTAGTCATCATTATTAGTCAAGGAGAAGTACCCAGCACCAGTGGGAATGCAGAGCTGCTCTTTAGCTGTGTGTCTCACGTGGGAAACGTTTCACTAACATCTGTGGAAGTTCTTGATGTAAATGCTTTGGCTGTGTGTTAACCTTGAAACCGGTCTGCTGTGCTTGCTGGGACTTACACCAGGCGCCATCTACTGGCCACAGGGTGCACCATCAGGTATATCGCTTTTGGGTGTCTATGCAGGAAAGATTGGGTTATCAGTGTACAAGGTCTTGCTACATATTTAAAATCTCTAAATCTGACTTTAAACAATGACTAACATATGTGCAACGATATCAAGAACTTTCCCCCAGAATTTTACTCTTACAATGTCAAAGAAAAAAACAACTTGAAAAGCATTTTCACAATATGTATTTATAGTGGTGGCGGCTCCATAAAGATGAAACTAAATGTCACTACACCCTTTTTAAAATGAGAGATTCACCGACAAGAACAAGTTAAATACAACAAAAACATTTCTGCATCTGTGTATCTGTATTCTTGTTATCGACAGTTCAGCTGCTCAAAAAGCACAGGTTGATACATACATCTCTTTATGAACTTTTCAACTTCAGACCCCCTCACCCAGGTGACCCGGCCAGGAGTGATCAGTTCCCGGCCTGTGTCCAAGAAGTATTGTTCGTAAAAATCCACAGTCATCTTGAAGCCTTCTCTGCTGATGGCTTTCCTTTGTGTGCTCCGGTGATGCCCAGGAGGCTGTAGGCCTTGCGTTATGACTTTCCCACAAAACCCGTCCTCCCCACTCCAATGGGCTTGCACCGTGCACACCACCGCTGTCTGTGGCATCCTCCACCAGCTCTGCATACTTCTCCTTCTTCCTCCTGCTAGCCTCCTCCATCCTCTCCTCCCAGGGCACTGTAAGCTAAACCATGACCACCTGTTTGGAGGTTTCAGAGAACAGCACGATGTCTGATCGGAGGCTTGTCTCTGTGATGGTTACTGGGATCCTGAGTTGTTTCCCTAGAGCCCTAATGTCCTCAAAGGAGACAATAATTAAGTCCCGACTTCCTTCAACAAGCTTGAATGGGATCGGCTGCAGACTGACTTGGCAGAGATGGCTGCCATTTTGTTTTTACATGGATTAGTGTATTGTGCTCTTACTGCCACTAGATGGCACAAAAAGTGTCCATGAATGAGGACAACAGGTGTGAGTTAAGTAGAATGAAGTATAAGGTCAAATAAACCCAAAATATGATGTCCTCATATGAAGACGCAGGGTCTCAGGAGGATAAGATAGATTCCGATCCACACTCCATACCAGTTAGTGGCGGTAATGCACCATAACATTGTTTGCCAGCCGCCAAAAAACACCAAGAAGAAGAAAGAAGAAGAAGAAGAAGACACTGAGGGAATGCTACAATACATTTTTACATTTTCTGTCTGGATTTTGTTGTTTTCAGGATGAGAGCAGGGGCATCCCCAGGACCAGTTCAGCCAGTAGATTCTCTAATTTTGCAATTTCATCACCATCATCATCATCATCATCATCATCTCCTATTACTTCTCATGATCTTGAAGTAGGCTATTTATTGCAGAGTTCTGCTAATGTAAATTTTCTCTGTTTAGATGGAACACCTGACTTTCAGGAGGGCCACCAATGGCAGCCTCATAATGAAGGCCTCCCAGAAGGCCCAGGCCGTTGGCCTCTGGCAGACTACCGGGGGCCAAGCCCTTTACCGGGCAAAGAAGCTTGAGGAGGTGGATGCTGAGGCGTGGGTCCATGTCAACTCCGAGGGTGGCGACACCACCAACGCCACCCTCGTCTTAAGCCGGTGGAAGGTCCAGTTCGTCCGGTACCAGGGCAAGACCTTCCACTGGCTGCTGGAGAATGACGTGGGCTATGTTGTCAATCTGGTCGCCTCCCACCAGAAGGAGCGAGAGAGGACACGTTCTCAGTCCCCACTGATGGCCAACAAGGTGGAGTCCTTCAGTCTGATTCATTCATACAATACAATTAAGAGTGTCCAGTTTTAAACTCCCTCTGAACTTCCAGGACGCCTTCACCTGCTACTCCTTGATGTACCCTGACTTTGTGGAGGCTGTCAGGTTCCACCATGCGTTCGAGGAGGCGCGGGTGAAGTCCCTCCAGCCTGGACAGGAGGGACAGGCCCTTGTTGGCTTCGGGGACTTCAAGTTCGAGACCCTGCAAGCCGTGTACGAGTCTGAGGACCCCAAAAATCATGTGACAGATTGTCTGTCTGATTTTTTTTTCTTTTTTTTTTTTTTTATAGATTTGTCAACTACCTCCGGAGGAAGGCGCCAGCTGCTGGCACGCAGATGGAGAATGCCGTCCGTTATGTCCGGAACAGAGACAGACAGAGAGCAAGGGATGCTGCTGCTGCTTCAACTGCTGCTGCCGCTGCCACCACCACCACCACCATGGCTGCAGCCACCGCCACCACCACCACCATGGCTGCAGCCACCGCCACCAGCAGCAGCACCACCACCACCCCCGCTGCAGCGACTGCCACCGCCAGCAGCAACAGCACAGCCTCTGTCTCTGCCGCAAGCCAGAGAGCCAGGAGTGCATCACAGCACATGTTTTACTGTCAAGCTGTCTGACTTGGATGTAGCTGAATTTTTAAAAAATGTCAGTATTTGTCATATTGTCTCATTACAGATGTTACTGTGTGTTTTCTTGTTAAGGCCTCTTGGTTCTGCGCTTGCGGCCTTTGTCTCCAGGCAGCGTTCTCTGTCTGCGGTGGACATGCAGGCCAAAATAAAAAGGATGCTGGTCCCTAAGCCTGCACGTCCAGGCAAGTCCAGCCTGAATGACATGACATATATAATACAGAGTTAAACTTTATTGTATTTCTTGTGTTCATTGTATATGTTCTGTGTTTCTCTCTCATTGTGTGATTACAGCCTCCTCCTTCCACCCATTCAGTCCAGCTCTGCCATCAAAACCACCCGAGGAGCCTTCGGATGAAGAGCTGGTCAGGGCAGTAGTTGACATCGTGAGTAGAAAATAATGCAGTTTTCGTGTGACTTATTGTAAATAACTGGAAGGCTCTACGTCTTTGTTGACACTTCTTTTTATTTTGTTTTATAAATGATTGTGTAATCAGAGAGGAGAGGAAACGACAGGCAAGTGTGGTTTGAATGAAAAAGTATCTGATGTCTGCCTAATGCACGTCTCAAATCACTAACAGATCTGCTGACCAGTCACCTGTCAAAACAATGCTAATGAGGTCATCTGTAGAGAAACATTTTCTTCATCATCCCTTCCCTAGTTGCCTGTGTAACACCTCTATCTGCAACCTGCATAGCTCCCTCTTAAATTCTCATTTGTTGTCATCATAATTTTGTCTCATCCTCATTTTCTCTCTCTAGAATCACTGTCTGTGCTCCTGAAGTTTTTAGATGCAGCTTGGCTCATTGTGTGTGTGTGTGTGTGTGTGTCACTCAATATTAACACAAAAATCTCATAATTTCATGTAACTGAAACATTTTATTTCTCTTTGCCTCAGATGTACCGGCCCCTCTCTCGCTCCCGCAGCATCCACCTCCTGCCCCCACCTCAGCAGGATCAAGGATGGGGGCATGTCTGTCTATGGTGACAAAGCTGTATAATGTTTCGGTTTTTCCAGGCTGTCCAGCTGTGTAAATTCTACCTTCTAGAAGTGGCTCAACAGGAAGTGCAGACGTACTGAAGACTGCTGTCTACTGACTCAACACCTGGATACCACTTAAACAAGACCAGGAACCTTTTTGTTTCGAGTTCAAACTTGTGTTTAAGTGTCCATTTTGATAGGTAGAGAATTTTAGGGCACTGTTTTGAGCAAACTTTTGCAACAACTAAGCTGGATACAGATGGCATTTCTGATTTATCCTCTAAAATTTCACTTAGACTACACTTGACTAAGGTAAGGTGCTATGCTGGACATATTTTGTGTTTTTAAAGGACACTGCCACTGGAATAAGAGGTGCTTTTCTCTGTTATTACTCCTCATGAGCCTATAAAACCATGTACAAGTAAGACTCATGAGCAGAGATTCAGAAGAACCTATAAATCACAGAGACGATGTATAAATGGTTTCAACTTTTGTTCATACATAAATAAAATTAAATAGGCAGCCATGTCATGTAGTTTTTCATGAGGTCGTAGAAACCTTGTGTTTTAGATATTTAAATGAGAGCTGAGCGACGCAAATCAAAGTGTACTTATGCTCAAAAAGACACAATTGAATAAAAGCCCTTTTGTCCCGTTTGAGGCGTCAACACCAGCAGATGTATTGCAGAATCACAGAAACACCAACTTCAGAAAAACAAGGCACATGCTTTGAAAACAGTTATGTTGGAACCACAACATTTCACACTCGCATGCCATCCAGCACCAACTGCAATGGAAAACCTCTCAGATATAAAAACACACAAACCTGAGGGAATTATTAAAGCCGTACATTATTTTGTGGCATTTTAAAAAAGATGGGTAAACCTCCCGTTCTGCCTTTCAAAGACGGTGCTACAAATAATGTCCTGCTTGGAACCGCAATGTCCCATTTGTGCTTACAGATGGAAATATAATCTGTCATTTTAACTGAAAACTAAAACAAAATATTCAGCATTTTGCTCCCAAAGACTGCCTTAAAATACGGTTGATATGAGGAGTCACTGCATGCAAATGTCCCTCTGCAGGAACAAAGTGCCCACTGATGGCATACTAATGATGAACACTCAGGATCTCAAAGTGGTGAAGACGGTTCTACGATTAATGTACAGACACAATCCTACTGCTGTTAGTGCTATGTGTATTACTTTGCCTTTTTTATTGCTAACAATCCTGCATCACAATCTACAAGTTGTTTCCAAGAGGCTGCCAAGGCGTCTCGCTGGCGTATCAGGGAATATATTATCTTCTCATTTACATATGCAAAGCTAAATTATTTATTAAAATGTGCAAATCGACATACATTGGTGTTTATATACATACATACAGACATATTTCTCCTGCAAATCCTTCAAGAGTAGGGACAGATATGACAGGAGAAATGATAAAAGCAAACAAGTTTTACAGATAGAAATAAGAGTGACGAAAAGGAGCTGTTAATAAGTAATGAAACCAATCAGAAAGTAGGTGGAGAGGAACGTCTAACGTGAAGGACAACAACCTGGAAGCTAAAATTAAAGTGTTCCCCTCAGTATTCCCATTTTCTCCTATAGTGTTTTGGAAAACTTGACACGTCCCTGTACAGACCTCTGCCTGACAAAGGTTGTAATGACCGAAACGTAGCTGCCTTGTCCCATTAAATACTTTGCAAGTTTGGCAACAATGTGCGGGAATGTGGCTGCAGTGTGGCTGCTACTTTTTATGGGGGTCTTGAAGGAGTAGTCCCGATCAGGGCTTTGCTGCTCCTGCTGGGGCTCGTCCGGCTCGGCGTCTCGAGAGTCTTGGAAAGTTGAGGAGTCAGAGGCTACACCAGAGTCAAAGAAAGTATTGTCAAGGCACAGGAGGATGGGCTCCTCGTGCTCAGTGGGAACCAGGCGCTGTTTGCGTCGGGAGCTGCTGGCTTGTCTCTTTGGGGGGGCTTTGGGAGTCTCGAATTTAATGGGGACCCATACCGGCTCCTCCTTCACCTCCACCTTGAGGTCTTTATTCTTCTGAGGATACATTACCACAGCTGGGGCGTCACTTTGCGTCACCTGTCGGACATACAATACATTTTACGATTCTACCAGTAACAACAATCATTTACCATCCCTGTCTTATGGCTCGGAGATTAAGGAGCTCCCAGAAGTCAATGTTTCACTTATTTGTGGACACTTTCAGTCACTGTTCTTCTTTGAGTTAGCTGCTCACCGCTGCCAGCTGCTTCTTAAATCTCCCAGTGGTGGCTGGACTAGCGCTCATTTAATAATCTTGTTGCGCCCTTTTCTCCTGTCTGGAAAATTACAGCCACCTTCTGATTATCTTGGTGAAGCGACTGCCAATATTTGCATGATGGTAGTGGATGGAAAAGCACAAAAATTGGACATTTGCGCTACATTTAGTTGTAGCTAAATGTAGCTAGTAGAAACCCAACTCGCATATAGAGTAAAACTACAACTCCTCAAGACCAAAGTTCCTGTGTCTAATTTGCCATCTGCTGATTAAGGTGAAGGGGGTTAGCATCAAAGTTAGCAAGTGAAGTTAGCCTCCCATTGGAACATTAAGAATTGATAGTGTTAAGTTTCAAGTTAAGATTTGCCTTTGCAATAAAACAGCCGTGTTTTATGTCATTGAGTCTTTTTGTGCTGTTTTTTTTAAGTAGTGGTTCAGGAACCATTTAGGCAGCAGCACAGTTTTAAAAGTATTGTTTTGGCACCCGGTATTGGGGGAAAAAAACCCAAATGATACCGAACCCTTTTGACACAACCCAACACAAAATGTTGGCATGGAAAACTCTAGCCAGACTTAACCAATACTTCTCCTGCAAAGCTGATCCCATATGACTTTTGATACTGAAAAATCTAAAATGTATTTTTAAGATGTTATATTTAGCTTCTCAAATGTTTACCTTAGGAGCTATCCGCACTCTCTTGGCTCCTCGCGAAGTGTTCTGTTTCTGCTGCGAGCTGGACGGGGGAAGCGGGGCCGACGAGGACGGCAGGTAGACAGAGGAGGCCACTGGGAGCTGGATGGGAACCAAGTAGGAATCAGTTCGAGGGAGGAGAGGCTTCATCCTTCTCTCTGAGTGAAGAAGAGACAACAACTGTCAATGTCAAATGTCAATTTTGCTGACTTCCAGCTGCTTTTTTTAGTCCCTTCAACCCATTTCGTGCCCCCATCTATTAACTCACCAGAGCTAGTTGCCGTCTTTCTTGCATCAGGAACGATCCTCCTTTGAGTCTGTGAAAAATAAAATAACATAACATCACTTTATACAGTTAAAGCACACTGCCTGAGTGATCTTACTGTGCTCTCTCTGTCCTGACTACACTCAGTGACAACTTGCGTTCTCTCCCTAGTTTTAGGGTCTGGCAAGCTACAACAGACAAAAGTCAAAGTTAGACTGTCCCTACACATTACTGTTAGACAAAGCCTCAGCGTCCCTGCTGCTCACATCTTCTCCTCCTGTAACAGAAAGATTTCCCTACACCTTAGCCCTCCATCTGCAGCTGCACTCTTTGGGTCAAAGGCTCTGGTGACAGTGAAAGTGGACGTCTGATTTCCTGTCCCTTTTCTACTCTCTCCTGCCTGTCTGCAGAGATGAAGACTGTTCCTAGAGAACTGAAAAAGATAAAGCCATCTTACTTAGTTGGGTAATAAAAGCATTGGCACGGGAACAGGAGCGGTCATTGGGTCACAACCAGGCTGTGGAGAAAGATGTGGAATGAGAGTGAGGAAAATCATAAAAGACTGGACAACAAAGATCCAAAACAATCCCCTGACACCACGGACGACAATGATGATATCAAATATACAAAATTATGAACAACTTAAGAAAAAAAAAATCAAGTCAGTTTTAGGGAATCCTTCGATATAAAAAGGTGGAAGAATGTGAAAAGGGGGACAGAAATAAGAAGCTGTGCTCACCTTGTACACCTGATCAAGAGTGAGGCATCGGTTGGCCTCAGGCCGGATTGTCCAGAAAGAAATTTTCCCATCTGGTGACGTCTCACGAATGAACATGTCGTGTAGAGAGAGGTTATGGCGGATGGAATTCTGCGATTATAATGAGCAAACAAATCTTTAATGTTTCAGTAAGAGACACTCAAACACTTCCATCTGCTCTATTATATGCACCTATAAATGCTATATTTGGTTTTGAGTTGTAAAGTACCTTCCATCCTGGTTTGGCCACCTCTCTGAAGTAAGGGAAGTGGTCCTCGATCCACATGTAAATCTCTTTCAGGGTCACCCTCCCGGTCTTTCGGCTGTTGATTGCAAACTGGATCATGGCCTTGTAGGAGTATGGTGGCCTCTCTGACATGGGCTGCTGGACAGCGTCTGCATCAAACTGTGGGTTTGGCACCTGTGAATGAAACAAAGAAAAAGAAATGGAGGCCTGATCACATGAGACACATAATAAACTGTAGACAGATCATTTTAGATTAACGTGATCACTTTAAACAGAGCCTGGACAATACAGAGATTTCTACAAAATCTTAATGCATGGAAACGTCTTTAATCTGACTGATGATAAAATAAACAAACATACTGTCACTCGACTAACACTCTACTTCAGTAATTTACAAACAAACTTTTTCACATAAGATCTTAAAGCTTTCTTATTTGAGCTACTACTTTATCAACTGTTATGGAAGGTGTGGAGACGTCTACGTCTGCAGTTACACTGTGACAAGATCTAACATTTAATCAACAGGGCTGACTAGTTGTGACTTAGTTTTCACTAGTGGAAAAGACATTTTGATATGACAAAATGTTAATTTATGATATCTGTAAAACAATTTTGACATGTTTCAAATATAATTTCACATGTAGAAAACACATTTTGTCTAGCAAAAAACTGATTCATAGATATCTTTAATAATAGATATCAATATTTCCTTTCTCACTAGTAAGAATAACAATATCTACAGTTTAATTTCTACATGTTGAAAAAGGATTCTGACTAGTGGAAATGTAATTTCTGATATCAACTATTGCATTCCTGCTGGTTGAATGCAGATTCACAAAAACTCACAGTCTTGGTACTACTGGATCTAAGCGCCGCCTCTGATACAGTAGATCACCACATTTTATTAAACAGACTCAGAAACCTGTTGGGCCTCTCTGGTACTGTTTTTAACTGGTTCAGCTTTTATCTCACAAATCGTTGTTTCTTTGTAAGTATGGATACATATTCCTCCAGAACGCATGAAATTAGGTGTGGGGTGCCCCAAGGGTCAATTTTNGAGCTCCAACTCTTTCAGGTTGGAGGGTCTCCTTGCCATCACCCTGATCTTTAGCTCCCTCCACAGATTCTCAATTGGATTCAAGTCAGGACTCTGGCTGGGCCACTGCAAAACGTTATTGTTTTTGTCCGCTAACCATTTCTTCACCACTTTTGCTGTGTGTTTTGGGTTGTTGTCGTGCTGAAATGTCTACTGGTGCCCAAGGCCAAGTATCTCTGCAGACTGCCTGATGTTGTTGTTGAGAATCTTGGTGTATTGCTCTTTTTTCATGGTGCCGTTTACTGTGATTAGGTTCCCTGGTCCATTGGCTGAAAAACACCCCCAAAGCATTAGGTTCCCACCACCAAGTTTGACAGTGGGGATGGTGTTCTTAGGGTTGAAGGCTTCTCCTTTTTTACGCCAAATGAAGGATACATCACTGTGGCCAAACAATTCAATTTTTGTTTCATCTGACCATAAAACAGAAGACCAGAAGCCTTCTTCTTTGTCCAGATGCAAAGGCCAAGCGGGCTTTTGTGTGCCTTATCTGGAGAAGTGGCGTCCTCCTTGGTCTGCGTCCGTGGAACCCAGCAGTGTGCAGTGTTCGTTGGACTGTCTGCCTTGAGATGTTGCCACCAGCAGAGCCCAGATTCACCAGGATGGCCTTGGTGGTGATCCTTGGATTCTTTTTCACCTCTCTCACTATCCTCCTGGCCAGCACAGGTGTCACTTTTGGCTTCCAACCACGTCCTCTGAGATTTTCCACAGTGCGGAACGTCTTATATTTTTTAATAATACTTTGCACTGTAGCCACTGGAACTTGAAAACATTTAGATATGGCCTTGTAGCCCTTTCCTGACTTGTGAGCAGCCACAATGCGCAGCTGCAGGTCCTCAGTGAGCTCCTTTGTCTTAGCCATGACTGTCCACAAACCAACTGCAGAGAGCTGCTGTTTTTCACCTGTTGAGTTGATTAAAACAGCTGTTCCCAATGAATCAGGGTAATTAGGATGCTTTAGAACAGCTTGGACTATTTGGAATGGTATAGAACTTTGGATTTTCCCATAGACTGTGACAGTTTGCAAAGGGTATGAATAATTTTGCACATGCCACTTTTTGTTAAAATGTAAATAAAAGCTGAGAAATA